TTCACTTTGTCCGACAAAGAGATTGATCCTGTCACTATGATCACCCACTCAGATGAATTCTCGGACTGTCCCAACATACCCAGGTTTTGACCCCCTCTAAGAATCTCACTGATTGGCATATCAAAGATAGCCCAATCCGACACCTAGTGTAGTATCATAATCGAGTATAGGGGTAAGGTGTAATATTCTAGTTTTGCCCATCTATCTCCAAGGTATAGGGCAATACTGGAATTCTGGTCCGGTTCAGGGTTTCAAGAAAACCCACACTGCATGTACCTCAGGTCTCACCCTGCTAGCTGAGACAAGCCACCCCAACCAACTTGGCAACACATCAATGTCAGCCTTGGCAAGATAAATCTCCTCAGATCTATCCAACGGCTATGAAGATTCTAAACTGACACGAGTCTCATATGTGCCCAGTTTAAAGGGATTACACAGAAACACACCATAATAACATGAATCAAATATGTACTTTATTCATTTACATTAAATGTCATAATGTACATCATTCTGATTGAAGCTAAGGGTATACATTGTCTAACATATCTCGCCTCTTTGTAATTAATTCTTCTGTTTGATTAATGAAAGTTTTATTATTGATCAAAACAATTGAGAATTGAACCAGACATCAAACTAGAAAGCTATACTATTTATGGTTTTCATGTTTTAACCAGGCAGTTTAACTGCATAACCACCAAAACTAATCAAAACTATTGAACGAGTGTGGTGTTTGGCTCGCAGTTTCGAAGTTCAACTAGGTCATCCAAGCTGATTCATAAAGCATTGATTTGCTTGGCAGGATCTTTGTGGTCTTGTGTTTTTGTTAATTTTAGTTTTTTTGTAGCCTTTTAATTTACAATTGTCAATTTGTAATTTTAGTGTCTATTATTAGTCTAAAGAGTCAAAGTATGTATAAGAATATTATTGGTAAATTTTTAGATTTTAGAGAAACTGAAGTTGGAATCTCTTTATCTTTAGTTCTTTATTCTTTATGCCTATTACCGATTGATCAAAACTCAAAAGTTGGTCGTTCAAATTCCAAAAAATAAAGAAGTTGATATGATGTATATTGAAAAGTAAATCAATTTATGGAATGGGACGAGGATGTTGTCAAATCCCATGTGACTCAAGAAAGTTGTGACCATTTTACTGGTGGGGTATTAGTTGGTGATAGGATTTTGGTTATAGTGAATAGGATTTTGGTATCAGAATTTAAATCCCTTGGAATAAAAAATTGGAATGGTTTATTCTCATAGTTTGTTTTTTATATGATAATTGAAATTGGAATTAGATTCAGGTGGAATGGGAATTTAAATCCTTTAAATGGGGTAATGCCATTCCACTTAGAATGAGAATAAAATTTTGATTCCGTACCTCTATTCCCATGAACTAAACGGGCCCTTAGTTCCTTTTATGTAAGTCAAAACAAAAAACTGCTGCAAACAAAAAGCTCATCATAATAAAACATGGAACAGTCTAACAACTTTGCAATATCAAGAAGACAACTAAACTGTACAATCAACCTTTAGATGGTTCTTGTTGGGAATTGGGGTCACGAAAACTTGGAGGAGAAGCATAGAGGCATGTCTAAAATCATTTTCTTTAGAACGTTATTTTTCATCACTCAGTTTTATTGAGTTTGTTGTTGGGTTATAGGCAAATTCGTTCTTAAGATACAATAAAACCTTGGGCGAAAATCTACAATTAGCAAAGTTGAAGTCTCCAAAGAAATCTTTTGTAAGATAGTAGTAGACTGGACTAAGAGAGACAACAGTGATTTCCGAAAAACTTGTGTATTCATTTGCTTGATTCATGCTTCTTATATAATTTTTGGAGAATCATCTTGAAGAGGAAGGTATTGGTTCAAGAAAAACTCTTTGTACAGTCACAATTTCAAACTTTGGGACTGTTAAAAGTTAGTTAACAATTAATGATTGTTAACTTTTAAATAATGCCCCTTGATTACACTTGATCGAATTGTGGCCATTAGATTTTCTTGAAATGTTAACAGTCATGATTTAGTCTCACACCAAAAAATCAATACCGCCTTACGCAAATTACACGGGTGCAAACAAAATGTGCTTCTAAAGTGGCTCATTGTGCCACATACATGCACACACACACACATGTATTGTAGTAAGCCTCCATACTCTCCTCTATAATTTTAAGGAGCATAAACAAGTTTCTATTTAAAAACTCAAAGCACGTTTAATAATTTTCCAATACGGGACAAGACTTTAAAAAAAATAAACAAGTTGAAAACTGGTTTTAGTGTGAAATTTAAAAACTATTTTCAAGATATATGTGTAGGTGTATTTTCATGTAATTAATCAATTAAACCTTATTAAATTTAATATCTAATGAAATTAAAATCCAACAGTTCTAAGGTTAGATGATAGTCCCACCAAGATGTAAAGGCCTGATATCATATTAATCAAGATCTAGAGATTGTAAAGCCAGCATTCCAAGTTTGTCAATAAAAAAAACCAAGGTTTGTAGGCTTTAGGAGTAATTATGGGCATATTGTAGCAGCTCTTGCTTCTCAATAAAGTGGCTCTTAATCATCATTTGGTTGGATCTTGAATAATAGTTACTCCATGTAGATGGTGTAATACATTATTCAATTTCTTTAGGCTCCCACTCAGCACTCACAAGCATCAATGTAAGTTGCAATAAAGGAAATTCCAACTCAGCACTCCCTGAAAACAGAATACCATTTCTTAATTAGTCTGTCAATTTTCCTCTCCTCTATATCCTCACTACTCTTACACGTGCAAAATTGCACATACCACTCAACTAGTCTAAAACAAATGTACATCCACGTTCTTAGGTTGGTGGGTCAAGAAGTTCATAGGTTGGTGAATCTGGAGGAAAAAAGTGCAAATTTTGTATCAACGCTAGAAGTAGCATTGCCCATTCAAACAAACTCACCTCAAAACAACAAGCATAAAACAGCAACGACTACTCCATTAACGATTGTGATTCATTTGAAGGTCTTTGTTTCAGAGAAGGCAACATTCCTGCAATCGTTGTAGACCCAAGAAATAAAGAAAATCGAAGAAAATTGGCATTTTACCGCATTAATGCAGCCCAAATGTCGTCACATAAAATTAAGGGGTATTTATAGATTACTACACCTCAAAATTAAGAGGGTTTGGAACAATACATTCAGAAAACCAACAAAAAAAAAATGATCAAACAGTTGGGATCTCCTCCCAACAAAAAATTGTCTCAACAAATTCCAACATGATCTGTGCCCGCCTTCTGATGCATGGTGGGTCCCAGAAATTAAGAGAGAAAAATAGAGTAAAAAAGGGCGAAAAAGAATGGATCTCGGTCTGGGTGATGGACGGCTAGGGTTTGGTCAAAGGCTGTTGAAAATCTGATGATAAATGCAGATTTGAGGAGTTAGAGTCTTGACATCATTTGCTTTGTTCAGCCAGTGCTCAAGAAATATGGCAGTTGCCGGTTGGTTAACCCGTTTCTCTGTTTCTCCCATACTTGTCATGAATAGAGATGTTTCTAATACACGGTCGGGATGTATTGCGAGGGGTTGAACTTAGTGCTGCAATTTTTATTTCTCTATAAATGTCACTCTGCTTTTCAAATTTTTACCAACATGCCATTACTTCCGAATTACAACAATGCCTCATGCGAGTTCCCTGTAACAAATAAGGGAAAAAGTTATAACCAATCAACCAATATCATAAAAGTAGTTATCAATCAGGTGGGTTTTCATCAAATTCAGAGGTTGTGATTGGTCAAGCCCTTTCTGATATTACGTCTTTCCAGCATCATATATTTTTCCATAAATAACATGAAATGAATTGGTCTGACTGGTTTAAAAAAACCAAAAACAATTATCCCAAATACGGCCCAGAACTAAGACCCAGCCCATCCATCAGCAGGGCACGGCCCACACCACTGACAAAGTCCATTTTTCTTGGATTGGCTGGATTAAAAACGACTAAACAAGAATAAAGCCTCATACGCTTGGTTGTAATAATAGCCTAAGTCTAACGAATCCTGGGTAACTCAGTTAATCTGCAACATTGCCAAGCCCAACTAGGAACTGAGTCAACTGACTCCCAATTTTGTATTGGGCCTTGGACTCTCTCAACAGAACCAAACTTGAAGATGGGCTAGCCCGATCAGGCTGCCGAAATTCTAGCCCAACAATCGGAACCAGTTCAATCAAATCATCCAAAAACAAAGTTGCCCTTTCTGAGTTGTGAAAGTGGGTGTTGGGCTTTTCAGCTTTCCCCTTTTCCTTTTTCTTTGATGAAAACGTGATGGACAAGATGATTGGGTTCACCCAATTTGGTAGATTACACGTATGTGGCTGCAGAGTTTGTATCCATCTAATAATGGGTCCTCGCCCACGATTCATGCCACACAATGAATGGGCTTCCTTCAACCTCATTATTATCAGCATTTGATGCTTTGACCTTGTTTGTCATTCCACTTCTATTTTGGCTGAAAATTCGCTGTTTGGCAATAATGCAATATTAATTTTGTTTTTTTATTCCTAAGATATTTTTTGTTTCTTAAGAAGTTTGATAAATAGTTAGAAGTTACAACTACTTATTGGGCATGGCCGTGGAGGGTCTTTTTGTCTGAACAGAACACCAATTCTGAAAAAAAGATTCTCAAGTACTGATCTTTTTGCTGAGATGGTACCTTCAACATTTGTTGGTGTATCCAAACAGGCCGCAATAAGAATCTATAAATATGGCCAACAACTACCGCATTTGGAGGGTGGGCAGTGGCCAATGGGCTACCTTTCTAAAAAGTAGGCCGCTATTTAAAAATATATTTTTTTAAGAGAAAAATGCAGTGGTTCACCAAAGTTTTATAAATTTTTAGTTCTTTACATAAAAATAGTAAAAAATAAAATTTTAGTTCAAATTATTCTTTTCTATATAGCTTATATATCATGAGAGTTGAGAAATACATAAATCAACAGCTTAGCATGAGAATCAATGGATGGTGGTTCAATTGATAGGTTCTCTGGTTAGCTGTAGCAGGGACCTAGGATTAAATCCCCACTACCACTAGGGTTGGGGGTTAAGGGTTTAGATGGGCTACGCCTGTTGTGTAACCCTGTAAAGCCAAAAAATGTGCTTAACATGAGATTCATAACCTAACTTGAAAAATAATTTAAAAAAAAAAAATCAACTGACGGAGATAACCAAAAGCTCATGTTAAGCGATTTTTACTGCATTTTATTGAACCTGATAATCCTTGAAACAAATCCACGTTAAATTAATAAAAATAAAGAAAAACCTGATAACCCATGGAAAGGATCAATGATTTCTCTAGACTTTCATGTAAGAAGATTGGTCCACCGCAGGTGGACAAATTTGAGTTTTTACATTTGTTTAGGTCCAAGCTAGGGTTCATATTTAGGTTAGCCTTTAACTCAACCCACTCCATCTAATTTACACTCCTATTTTATTAGAGAGAGTCAAAAGGAATTAAGAGAGACTTAAGAGAAAACAGGAATTTAATTGGGAGAGTAAATGTTATAAACTTTGACTATTAAGAGGGGAGGGGACACCCACCCACACGTGCGCACACACAGATTTACGAATGGTCTTATTAGAGAACAAATATTTATGAGAGAATGAAGAACCATGAGAGTTTTAAATTGTGACTTGCTATATTTTTAAATATGCACACGTGTGCGAAAGGAGAGGAGGTACATACGGGTTGGGTTCTGTGATGAGAGAACCCCTCACCTCTCCTCTTTCCTCTTTCTGTTTTATACATATAGATGACTACACCATCTATGCATTAGACTATATGGCCATATGTACAATATCCAGATCTATTTTTTCCATTTTTGGCTTCTTTTGGGGGAGGACGGAGGGGTTCTGCTCTGGCAACAACACGGACACACTAGATGAATAATTTGGACCTGAGGAACTTCATCGCCAGTGGCTGCAAGATAGCATGGGAACCAATTGATCTATAATCTTAAGTATCAACATTTTGAGAAGTTAATAAAGGGAAAACATTTTAACGTCTTATCAACCAAGAAAGGGAAAAAGACTTTCACAGAACATGTTACAAAGTTCCAATAATTTAGTCTAATATAATATAGTTCCAGGCTTCCAGCAGTTATAACTGTATCAATCAAGGCTTGATATAATACAAGTTAATACTAGAACATTTTAACGTCTTATCAACCAAGAAAGGGCAAGATTTTCAGAACATGTTCCAAAGTTCAAATAATTTAGTCTAATCTAATAAAGTCCCAACAGTAACTTATAACTGTATCAATCAAGACTTAATATAATACAGTATAATATTAGAACCCCATAGTTAAACCATGGTTACAACAAGTGATCGCACCAAAACTTGAAAATTTTCTCCATCAACTCATTAGACCATTCCAAAGCTGAGCCTTTGCTGGGTCTACCTTATTTAGCAAATCCCTGAGGTCTCCAATTCTCTTTAGTTTCTCTTCGAGCTCAGTTCTTTGAGAGTGTGGAATTTGCTGATAAATATTAATGGATGGTAAGAATCATATTTGGCAACACAATGAAGAATGCTAGCCATACAGGTTTTTTCTTTTTTTGATCAGTAACTGAATGCTAGTAGTCATACAGATTAATCAAGCCATGCTTGCATACAGTGGCCTTGAAAACCAGATGCAAATACAGTTTGACCAACCCCTATGGACAGCATGGTCCAGGATCAAAAACATATGATGTATGCTTAATTTGATAAGAAAGAAGTTAACATGCAAGAAGAAAAGAAAATCAAAGATTCTACTACCTTTGACATCCAGAAAACATAAGCAGCCACAAACGTTACTTGTGCTTGGCCATCCTCAAAATCATCATCCAGAACGGCCAAACAAGTATGAAGGAGTTCCACTTCATTATCCATAAAGATGTACATGTCACGGTTTTTGCTATGGTCATCTTCTGAGTGGCAGGGTGTGTACTGAATGTTAGAAACAAAATGCTTCACCCAATATTGAGAGAGGAACCGACGATGAACCCATAAAGCCTGAGAGTGTTAAGCCCCAAGAAAACAAAATGGATCCATAAGAAATCCAAACACAACTCAGATAAGGTGGTGGTTTGCAGTATGTTAGCCCTTAAAAGGTAATTAAATTTGACTAGGAAACATGAAAAATTTTATGACAGTAAATAAGACTAATTTAAACTAAAAAAGAACAGTTTTTAAATCCTCTTTTCAAGTTTAGGGGCCTATGTCACTCAGGTGATCGTGAAGAATCACTTTATTTTAACAGCTTTACTAAAAACTTGAGCTGATACTGAAAATGCAATAGGAGTTTTATCAACATTGTAGCCATATACCTCTCTCCCTATGTAGCGCTTGATCAACATTTCATCCCAGTCAAGCTCCTCCTGCCAAAACACAATAGAGTGAAGCTCCTTTATTTATTTATTTAAAAAAGGGCCAGCCAAGACCTGTTACCCAGCAAAAAATTCAACATGTTAACAAACAAACATAAGAAATACATAATCATAAAAAATAGGATTCCTAAGAATGGTTAACAAGCAATTCCAATTCACAAAAACCCCCGACAAAAAGTAAGCCGGGTTAGGCAAGCTCTGACATTATAAATTAATATGGAACCTCTTGCATTGTAAAACAAATGATATATGGTTAACCGGAAATTTAGTGTTGACACAACAATCTCCTTGAGGAGATTCAAAGTTAGAAATCCATCATATATAAATAAACAAGAGAAATGAGTTGGGGAGACCACCTGCAAGCTTGCAAGAATGGTATGGACGAAAGCTTTGGGGCTGTTTGAAGTTAGTTTCTGTTTCCCATAAGATTTGATATCTCTCCTGTGGTGCTGGCAGCTGAATGGTTTGTCCAATAAAGGGAAAGTCTTGTGGGAAGTAATTCCGGAAGCAAGATTTGGTCTTTATGGACAGAGAGAAATAGGAGAATTTTTTAGAATAAACACGATACAGTAGATACAATATTAAAAGGCTTATGGGGCAGAATTTACTAATGTGCAGCAGTTCACAGACAGCTAAAGGATATATACCTTTCAACTCTTTTTTCGATAATAGGAATCTTTTTGTATCTAGATCTGCAGTGTAATCAACTTCTCAGTGGTTTCCCTGTACAATTCTTTTTTGAACAGGGCCTTGTATATTTTGTTCAGTTTCCTATAACACATTAACTTTTCTCAAAAAGAGTTGGGAAGACCACCTGCATGGTAAAAGTCAGCATAGATGCCCCCACGAACTTGGGAATTTCTGACCAGAGAAAGAGTACATCACTTCACTATGGGAGTCGATAAAACTTGTACAAGTGTGCAAATGTGATATATGATTCTGGATATGATCAAGGGCTCACTGGTAGGAGATTGTAACCTAAGTGGGAGCATTAAGATGGTTAGATAGTCTGACTTGTGGCTCTGGTCCCTAATTCCCTAATGCCCAGTACAAAGGCTTGCTAAATCATCTAAGCCCTGACCCAACTATATGGGGTTGGCTACATAGATCCCATTTTGCCATTCTGTTTGGTTTAGTGCCATATCTGTTGTTAAAAATAGACAAATCAGGATCATGACCTAAAAATTTGGCAAAAGTTTTAATACCAGCTGCCAACCTGAGACAACCCTCCTCCTTTATCCAGGCTTGGGACCACCAGTGTAAGACAAGCTCACACAATTGGATTTTTTTTAAGATAAAAAAAAGAAATTTCATTAAAAAAAAGAAAAAAAGATACATCCTAAAAACTATCCAAATTACAAATTTGATGTTCCAAAATTTCCCCTAATCTGTCACTCACATCTTCCTTAGAAACTTGACTAAAAGCTGGAGAGACCAGAACCCAATCTGCGACAGAGTTATTGATAGCTGCCACAATCTTTTCCATGTTCCAGTGTTTGTCTTCAAAGACTCTTCTGTTTCTCTCTTTCCAAGTGTTCCAGCAAATAGCGAAAGGTAAGCAGCTCCAAAGAATCCTTGCTTTTTTACTTCCTCTTAACTTGGTCACGTAGAAAAAAATTCTGCAGCATTTCCTGGCTGAAAATTTGGAAATCCAAACATTAATGTGAAGAAGCTCCACAAGAAGCCAGCAACCTTACAATGAAGAAAAAGATGTGTGACAGTTTCCTCCTGTTCTTGGCAGAGAAAGCACATATTGGCCATGCAAAAGCCTCTGGACTTCATGTGATCTATTGTCAAAATACTGTCCATAGCCAAAGCCATGCAAAAGCCTCAATCCTTGGAGGGATTGGATTTCCTCAAACACCATCTATCTGAGTTTGATATGAGTCATCCTTAACAATTGCCATATAAAAGGATTTGACAGAGAACTTCCCATTTGAATGCTCCTTCCACCACAGTTCATCCCTTGTTTGTGAAGATAACTTCATCTCCTCTAATTTCTCCAGCAGGTGCAAACATTCCTCCACCTCTCACACAATTGGAATTTCACACTGGCAGAGTTTCACACAAGGCTTGCCACATGCGAACATGTAACAATTGCACTGCAGGATCTCAAGCTTGGGTTAGAAATGTCCAGCCCAGGTATGATCAATTAGTAGTTCCAAAACAAAGAAAATCCCCTTGGTTGTGCTTGAGATGGATGGAATCAATAGTCAAGATACCAAAGGCCATACTTTCAATCCAGCTACAAGATTCAAATAAGCAAAACTGTGAGGAACCTAGGAAGCCCTTGATGCTCTAACTGGTTGGTTCTGGCCTGTTCACTATGGGGATGAAATCAAACACCAACCATTGAGGATGATAATGCGATATTTAGGACAAAAAGAAGCACCTAGCAGGAAATCTTCTCAAAAAAGTTCTACTGAGAACAAAGGTGTCAAATGGATCGCAGGAAGTACTTATTGATCGATCTATTGGTTATTAACAAGAAATTAAATTAACCCGTCATAGTTGTCATTGACTGGACAACAACTGAGCACCTGTGACCTAGTAGTTGTTTAGGTAATTATCTTTTATATGAAAAAATGGGTGATTTTAGTTTCTTTCTCAAGTCTCTTAGGAATTATCTTGTTCCCTGGTTGGTGTAAGCAACTAGAGAACATTAAAAGCTATCTAACACAAGAAACACTGAAAGGGGATTTTTAAAAAACATTATATGGTCTAAGCAAAACTAAGGAAAGGATCTCTGTGCTATTAATGCAAGAGGGACACATAAAGAGAATGTCTATGCTAATTAAAAGAACAGAAGAAGACAGACATATGAAGTGATGGAGCCATTATTTTGAATGAAACAAAGATATAGAGAAGAGAATATATGGGTGTGTTAATTGCAGAGAAAAGGAAAAAAAAAATGAGACTCTTCAAGTTGAAAATTATTCTTTTATAACAATATGATATGGTTTAGCACCACTACAGTTGAAATTATTACATCTTCTATAATGGAAACACCAACATGAGGTACAAGACGATTCCAAAGAAAATGTCTTATTGCCTAGGCATCAACTTGAAAACAATGAAATCTGATAATGGTTAGTCCTAGATCACAAGTCAATAAATGATCAAATCAAACAACCACCATTAAGGGTGACAAAATGTGTCAAATAGATTAGAGATGTGCAAAGCACCACTAATATTTTACTGATCAATTTTGGGTTGAACTATGAATACCATAATATTATTTATAGCATTTCATGTTTTACTATGTTTTATTTTCTAGAGTTAAGACTGCAACTCCACTTTGATTGGATGGTTGAAAGGTAGAAAAAGGTGAAAACTTTCACCATTAGAAAAAAAAAGGATAATAGTAAGTGGAAGCAATCCTCACCATTAGCTTTGCAGAAAAAAAGGCCATTTTTGGGTTTGTCTTCTAACTGGTGTATTCTTTGCAAAACTAATTGTGAGGATTGTTTACACTTACTATTATCCTGTTCTTTTGCTGCAGCTAATTGGAATTGGGTTTCTGCTTTATTTGGGTGCAGGTGGAACTTACCTACAAATGTAAGTCTGCTGTTCGATCCGTCTTTCTTTGTAAAGAGGGAGAAATATGTGGAAATGTATTAGAGCACCTGCCCCCTGGACAATTTGGGAAGGAAGGAATGCAAGAATATTTCAAGAAAAAGAAAGAATCCATAAATGTCAAGGATTGCATCTTAACAAGGACAATACATTGGTTGAGAACTACGGGTTCCTTCCAATTCTTTTCCTTTGAAGATCTTTGGAGGAATTGGTCAACAGTGGTAGTTAGCTCTTCTAGGAAGGATAGGGTCACTATAGAGTGGGTTCCTCTTCTTGAAGGAAGTGTAAGTTGAATTTTGATGGAAGTAGTTAGGGTAGCCCAGATCCTTCTGGAATAGGAAGGGTACTGAGAGATAAGGACTGCAATATTTTAGCCTTATTCTCTGGTCCAGTGGGTTTAGGAGGCTCTAGTGGGGCTCAACTATTAGCAGCTTTACAAGGTATTCAAATTGCGAATCAATTTGGTGTGGAGAATTTAATAATTGAAAGAGACACTACAATTGTTGTGGGGTGGCTGGCAGACTCGGATTCAGTGGTTTGATGGTACAAGGATCTCTTAAAGAAAGCTAATGGTTAACAAGAAACATGAATATTAGCTTACATTGGGTGGGCAGGTCGGTGAGTGCCTTGGCTGATTGTCTTGCCAAACAAGGGGCTAACAGGGAAAATCTGTACTGGACTGCTTTGTAAGGTGTTTTTTCTAGTGTCTTAATGTAATCATTACTTAGTAAGGAGAGGTCGCACTTCGTGCCTCTCCTTGGGATGCTTGTAACAGTTTTCATCCTTCGGTAATAAAATCATACTTCAATTATAATAAAAAAAGGTGAAAACTAAGGGTTTCAGATAGCAAGAAAAAGTTACCCAAGGTCTTTGTCGCATAGTGAAACCATGGGAAAAAGAGATATATAATGAACAGGATCACCCATTTCATTTAAAAAGTTAACTCAAGAGAACAGTCATGAATTAGAGAGAGAGAGAGATTTGCTACCGGTCATGATCTTTGTAATACACTAATAACAGACCTTCCAAATTTTATAGAGGCCCATCATGTTACTGGAGCACAAGTCATTCTCCTGATTCAAGCAGATGTCCTCCAGCATCCTAAGCATTAACCGCTGTCAATAACACAAAACAGTAAGATGCATGAAGGCTTCAAAATAGATCACAAAGGGAGCATCTGTTGGGGTGGGGGGAAGAAATCCAATTTCAAATTGTCCTTGTTGATGTTTGATATTTGATCACTGCCAGTACCTTGGTGTAGGTACAGGATCATGCTTTATTCTATCAATTTTTGCATAAAGCAAATAGCCCCCATTCCCAGTTACCATATACCTGGCAACATACTGACCAATTCTTTAAAAAGATATAGGTGCAAGGCAAGTCACAAGGATCTTCTAATGCATGCAGCATAAGCCGCATCAGATCTCATTCTCTCAAGAAAAAAGATGAACAAAATTGAGAAAAAATAAGTATAAGAACTACGAATAAATGTACTATATTTTTTTTAAAGAGTGTTTTGGGTAGGCTTGGGGCCGTGATAACTTGCCACCTGCCCCCTGTTTCAAGAATGAGGACTTACCAATGAATGGGTTCCAACTTCCAACTAAAACTATGGTTATACCATAAATCAATTTAATCAAATGACTTTTAATCATCTGATTTAGGCATTATCATTAGTACTTATGAAATTTAAGAATAACCGCTCACCATGTATTTAAATGCAGTAGTATCAGAGCACTATGACCTTCTGTACAGGATAGATTTTGACCAAGCTTTCTAATTAGGACCAATCTGACAATGGGTTCCAATGCTCCGGACATGGGATAAGTGGCAAGTTATAGGAGTCCTAGACCCATATACTGGTAATGTGTCCCAATACCCAGCTTTAGCCATATGTTCATATAAAAAGAGTGCATAGATGAATTAATCATCATATAAACAAGGATCATAAAGTACTAAAGAGCTTTTAATGGAAAAAAGCAAATGCATTCTTATCATAAAACAGAACCTCAAATAGTGTTAAACAAACTAAATATTTAGACAAATTACAAATAGACAGACAGAAAACTTTGAATTCGTCTTCAAATCCATCATGTGATGAGAATCCCATTATAAAACACATTCTCTTGACAGAGGGTTTTCCTTAAGCCTCACCATGAGGTAAGCCCGATTAGACTGTTCATGGGCCAGGCCTGGGTTCAGGTTTTGCCAAAATTTGATTGGGCCCAACCTGAACCTCAAGCTGAAGCAACGTAAAGCTGAGAACGATGGGCTGCCCCTGCCCATGAACGATGGACTTTAAAAAACTGGTTTAACTTGCCAAGGGTTCTTTGCCAAGTTATGATGCTTTTACAGTAATCCTAATATGTGATGTAATCATGTAAACAACATTAGACTCACTTTGCGATATTGAAAGCAGCAATTATCTGCGATATGTAACTCCGCCCATTTTCTTGATTTGTTGAACTCATCTAGAACCTGAATAAATGCACCCAGGTCTATTTATCATATACAACCCAATAACACTGTCCTAGTTATAATTTCCAAAGATACTTTATCAATGCATCAGGAGAATTGATACATGAGGTCAAAAGAATTGAACAAAAAAGTTAAGGTAAAAAGAGAGATACAGAAGGTCAAAAAAGGAAAAATAATGACTTGCAATTGTTGACTACAATTGCAAGGCTTAGTTGCATAGAGTAGTAGAGTTGTTAGCTACAACTTGGCTGTTTAATATCACACTTTCCATTTTATCTTTTCAATCATCCAAAATAGCAATTTCAATATTTATAGAATCAAACCTGGTCTTTTGTCATGTAGGAAACAAGCCAACAACGATGATGCCATGCACGATAGTTCATTTTTGATCTCTGAGCAACAGAAAGACCATTAATTAGTATAAAAGTTTTGTTCCTTTTGCAGCTGCAACCAGAGAGAGATAGAGAGAGAGAGAGATTATGGTGTAATTCCAGACTGCACATTACATGACATAGTAAATAAGGGCTTGAAAACATAATAAAGTCCTGAAATAGCATTATAATGTCATAGAACTCCTAGTATGCAACAGATTCTTTGCATCCTACTTTTAACCAGGCTATCCACTAGTTTGTTATGCTTGCTCCAAACCCCCTAAATGGTAGTTCTGACTTCCCTTTGATTTCATAATTCATATCTACCAAGTTTTGTATGATGACAAGGATATTTATCTAGAGATAGTATTATAACATGGTATTTTAAACTGTTGATCACTGGAGAGGTGAGAAACTTCAGGCCGGCAGGGAGGTGGCGTGTGGAGACGACCAGTGAAGCAAAAAACTTCCTATTCGAGCAGGGAAGGACAAAGGGGGAGGCTCATCTGAAAATCAGAGAAGGCAGCAGGGCGACAGTCTTCCTACCAGGTGAAGCTAAGAGTAGGATGATAAAACAAGGAATTTCGATGATAAAGCAAGAGTGGCTAGAAATCCATCACTGCATTGGAGCTAATTGATTTGTGCAGATCCCAGATCAGTGACTAGTCTTTAGTCGCCATTTCAAAATATTAGGGGTGTTGCAGTAGGGACAATTGATGGAAGTTCAAGTGAGGCAAAGGTGAGGAAAGATATTGAGCTGAGAAACAGTGTGGCGACTAATATAGAAGCAAAGGTGAGGGACACCACAAGCTGCATTGAAGCAGAAGTTACTACAATTGAGGTTTGTCATGTTGTTGGGATTTGCAAAAGCAGTATAAGTGGGGAGAGCGCAAAGGAAGTAGTAGAGCCAAGAACAGTAGCAGAGTTTGATACTGAAGCAGTGAGGAGCATCTTTATTGGTAGTGGTGACTTTAGGGAACAAAGGAACGAGGTAGTCTCTGTCCCTGAATTTTCAGACATCGGACCTTGGTTTGGGAGGATCCACCATTGAGAAGTCTGTAGGTGATGACTAAGGTGCCGTTTGGAAAGTCTTTCTAGAAAGATCTTCCAGCAGCCTAGATGGCTAAAAGACATATTGAGCTTTTGGGGTCTTGTCTTTAAAGACAAAGACCATTTGGTAAGCAGTTCGGTCTACCAAACTTTTAAAAACGTGTTTAGAGGCTATCTATCACACAGAAAGACCAGAAAGCTTCATTTGAAGTTTCTCGAAATTCGGCATTTTTGATCTTGTTGGGTCTTTCCACACACACGTCTTCTCATCTTTCCAGCTTCTGGTTACCAAACGGAAAAAGACCGATTTTTTGTCTTTTGAGCTTGCCAAAGCCCAAAAGACCGCACAGAAAGACTTGCCAAATGCCGCTTAAGTTACAGAAGTGTGTTGGAAAGTTAGGCAAGGTTTTGGATAGGAAGAGGGATCCAATGAACGTGGTCGCAGAGAGCTTTGCAACAGTCCTAAGAAATCTAGAGGAATTAGCAATGGTCATCTCATTCATGTAACAAAGGTGTTTTCACACTTAAGGGAGGGTATTATAGGAAATGAACCTTGTAATGGATTCAAAAGAATTTATAAGAAGAAAGGTTTGAGATATAAAGAATGTTTTCAAAAAGAGCTTGGTAAAAAAGTTTCACTAGCCTTGAAAAATAAGCTAATGGAAAAAGGAAGGTTGGGGTATGATCATGTCCCTCAGGATGAGGACGTGGAAGTTCCTGTTCGAGGAAGGAAATCAGCAGGAAGATTTATGTGATTTGGGTGACATTTGAGGGTGGTTTGCAGCACTCTGATAATAAGGTTGGTAATGATGGGGTGACGAAGAAGATTCAGGCAAGCGTGGATTTGATTTAAATAAGATTGTTGATAGGGAGATGGAGGTAGCTAGATCTTTGGGCTTGTTCTTTTAGGGCGGAGAGGGTTTTGTAAGAAGAGCTTTTGAAGAGTATGAGAAGAGTATCATATGAAAATTCCATCAGGGAAGGGGGTGAAACATGGAATGAGGACCATGAGCAGAAAGCTGACTTCAATGGAGAGATTGGGGTAGTTGGAGGGAGGATGGTGTTGTGTTGGTAGGCAAAGAAGGTTTTCCGTTTTTCTCTTAAGTTTTGATTGTGAGGGTGTGAAGGAGGGCAGCAAATGTTTTCATTTGGAAATCTTTTTTGCTTGTACTCATTGGATTGATGGCAGGTTGTGTCGTTGTCTGGGCATTGGCCACTTCAAGTGTTGGGAGGTGTTAGAGCTGTGAAGTTGTATTGTTGTCTGTTTCTTCTTGGGTATTTAGGTTGCCTCACCACATGCTTTCTTTTTTGTTTTTTCAATAAAAAATTTCTTCTTACTATCAAAAATAATAGAGCTAAAATGGAGGTATAGGTGGAGATCATGGTGGACATGGTGGGGTATGGTGATATATTCAGAGGACATGGACCAGGAAGAATGTAGGTATTGCATATATTGTGGCAGAGAGAGAGGATCCTACTTAACTATTGCCATGATCTACATGTTTTTTGGGTTTGTTCTCATTGTGGGAATGAAGGTCATACAATTGGTCTTTTTTAATTAGAAACAGATATTTACATTAAGAAAATAAAGGTGATTACAAAATGCCAAGCATCCCAAGCTGTGGGAATAGGACACTTATAGATGATATTACCTTACAATGCCTCCCAAAACAAATGAATCCTGTTTTCCTGTTTACCCCTTGTTTGGCCAAGGAACCTTCCAAACAATTTGCTGATCTTCTAGTCTATAAAAACCAGACCCACATATCTCTTGCTAAACTTCTCACGTCCTTCAAAGTTTGTCTATGGGCCCAAACTCCTAAGTTGTTCGATTGCATCCAACTTACTAGCACTTTGGAATCACTTTCTATTTCAAATTGCTTGAGCCCCAATTGCTTTGCTTCAACCCTTACAAGAGACCCAATAATTCTGCCCTCAATGCATCCCCATACCTATTGGCCCCGAGTGTAAAGCTACATTTCTCCCCTCACAATCCCTAAATGCTCCCCCCCCCCCTAAAACCAAATGCCAGATGACCATTGATTGCCATTTGATCTTCCATTGAAGCTTAATTTAATCATTTAAAGATCTGGAGGAATACATAGTAGATATATGTGTCGAAGATGCTGCAACAATACCCTATCCACTAATGATGTCAGCTGTTGAGAATTCTTTAAAAGCTTCATCTGTTCTAACCCAATGAGCTTCCTTTATAGTGATACTATCAATGATTGCCTTCTTTTTTTTGCTTGCTGCTTCAAAGAGCCTTTTATTCCTTTCTTCCCATATGGACCAGACAATAATAGCTCTTGTGGCTCTCCACATAATTCTATGTGGTCTCTGTGCTCATACCTATAAGTGCTTCTTTTGGAGTATAACCAGAAACCATATCTAGTGCATGCTTTTATTGTGGCCACTGCCACCAGACATGCACCATGCATTCATTATTGATTTATTGGAGATTCTTCTCCTTTAGTGATAATGGCCACCCCTCTAATATTTTGCTGGTTTGATGGTGAATCCCATTCAACGAAGTTGTTTTTACTCAGGCCTTTCCACTCTCCTTTGAGTCCCCACTTCCCCAGTAAGTTGAGCCTCTGCAGCAAATATCAACTCAACTCCTAATATTTCTTCGCCTCCTGCCCCTTACCACGGTAATCCATGCTACCAATACAGGATGTTTCCACTAGGTTGCCTTCCTCATCTTTGTCGTGTAACATCAAGCATATCTAGGATTTGAATGCAAAGAAAATTGTTTCTTCCCCTCCAAGCTTAGAAATTTGTGGACCGGGCAGGCCGAGCTAGAAATGATCACACCCTATTTGGCATTCACCATGCCAAATCTTCTAAGAGAAGTCTAGCATACAACTTTTTTGACTAGGAACAAGGAACATCCTATGCCATAAGCCATGCAGAAGATCTTCCATGAATACATAAAGTGGCGCTACTTAACAAAAAGAAACAAATATTGTAAGTTGAATGCCATTAGAATAAATTCTATTGGAATAAATTCTATTGTTTGGTATTCTGAGTGCATATACATATCATTGTTCCAGACCTTTTTTTGGAAAGATGCAAGTAAATATTTATATTAAGAAGAAGAAGATCCCTCAAAAAAGGCTATACAAAAAGGAGTCCTGGTTAGGGGTGAGCACTATTCCGTTAAAACCAAAAATTTCAGTTTTTGGTTAAATTGGTTCGGTTAATTCGATTTTCGGTTTTGATTTTAAGAATTAGAAATTCAGTTAACCAAACTTTCTATTATTATATATAATATGTATTATGTAATATATTATATATTATATATTTATATATTAATATATAATAAAATGAAATTTGATTTCATAATATATATTTTATAATATATAATATAAAATAAAGTATATATTATTAAAATTCGATTTTAACCGAAATAACTGAAAACAAAACCGAAAATTTTGGTTTCGGTTATTTCGGCTTTTCTATAATTCGATTTAGGTTCGGTTTTTATTTTTTAGTTCGGTTTTTAAAATTCCAGTTTATTCAGTTCAGTTCTTAACCGAAAAAACCAAATGCTCACCCCTAGTCCTAGTCATTGCTAGTTGGCAATTCAACTCTATACATCATGAACTTGCCGGATATCCCTATCCAAGTTTAACATTTCATTTTTCTTATTAGAAATGAGACAGATAAAGAAGCATAGGAATAAGATTTGAAGTAAAGGAGAAATTGGCCCATTGTAGCAAAAGAAATTAGGCATCAATTGTAAAAAAGCTACGAGTCCTAATTCCTAAAACCACAAATCCAACTTAGCAATATCAAAATGATGAGTTAATAAACCTTCAGTAATTAATGTTATCCATTTCTGGAACTGAAAAATAAACCTCAGCTATTTTCTCCACCAACTCAGATTCTTTCACCACGATCTCTTGCAGGTTTGGACACTTGCCAGCGATTGATTTGATCACCCAACGTCTGCCAATAACTGATATATAGTATAAAGAGAACAAACAAGACTTGAAAAGATACTTATGGAATAAAGAAAAATATTATAGAATTGTCTTAAAAGATTTTTAAAATTCTTGAGATAAGGAATTCCATAATATAAGTGGAATTGTGGAAGGTAAAATGTAACTAAAAAAATTATTGTATTGTCCTTGAATATTAAAATGATGATATAAAAGAAATGTCCACAAATGAAGCAAATGATATGACAAGAAACCCTGGGATTTGGATCTCACTTGTGATCTTAGATTAGAGGTGCTCAAGGCCAATATCAACTCTAGACCTTCTAAAAGAGGTTTTTTTTGTCTCGTATAAAGCTTGCTAAATTTGGAGCTTGAACTCCAATGCTCAGTTTTCTTGTACCTCCCTTTTTAAGGCTTTTTGCTCCACACTTGCATCTATTACAGGCATTCCTATGAAAGCTTTATGGTGAGAAGATACCACTCAAAATTAGGCTTTCAGCTAGTATGCATTTCATGAAAAAATCAATACCCTTGACAAGCTTCAAAGAAGGACTTATTTGTGCCCATCACCCCATGTGTTCCTTCCTTGTAGTGTAAATGCTGAAAGTGCTATCCACCTGCTAATCTCCAATCAATTTGCATCTTGTATTTGGAAGCTCCCCCCCCCCATACAACATGGAATTGTTTGGACCCTCCTTTTTGTCACCAACAAAGAAGAGAGGTAAAATTATATGATTATGGGAGGTTATCTTATGTTGTTAATGGGAGGAAAGGAATGTAAGATTGTTTAGAGACAAAGGCTTGAAGCCATCATTGAGAAAGTAAAGATCAACATGGAAATTAGGTTAAGATTTTAAATGCCTTCATGCTTATACAACTGATAAAGTGATAATATCTTAAGAAATTGGCAACAGGTGGCATCTACATCTATGGATAGAACAATGGAATCACCATAATGGTCTCCTCCAAGCCCAAACATGATCAAGCTAAATTTTGATGGCTGCACCATGGAGAATCCAAGTCCATCTGGAATAGGGGGACTATTTAGGAGAGATTAATCCATCCAGGCTGAAATATTGGCTGTTCTACATGGATTACATCTGGCTAGGTCTATGAATCTCAAGGGCATTCTGATAGAAAGGAACTGTCATATAATCATAGTCATAGGATGGCTATGAAATTATGAAGCAGGACCATGGAAATATAGGCGTATAATGAAGGAAACCATGAAGCTAGCGGTAGAGGTACGGACAGTATACAGGTAGACTCTTAGATTGACCAATACTGTTACTGATGGGTTTGCAAAACATGGAGCAAAATGAAGAGAAATTTATTGGGGTTTAGTACCCCAATGGTAAAAGGATAATTATGTGTGTAGCTGAGCTTAGCTACTTTATTGGGGTCCTCTGTTTAGCACATGCATGTATATATATACATTTTTTTATTAATAACGATTTTAACAATTACTGATACAAAAAGCAAATGAGAAAGAACGCATTGACATTATCTTGCACTTTGCAAGCCATGAAACAAGATATGTTTACCCAGTCGTACCTATGGCTCCAAGCATGATCACTTTTCGGTGAATATGAAAGAATCAATGCTGATAATTTGAGTTCATCCATAAATAATGACAAAATCTCCTGCAAAACAACTAATTTCCTGCACAACAAAGAGAAGATACCGTTAGATAACAACAAAGGAAAAAATAGATGATATAATACACATAACAGCAGAGGCTGCTACTAAAATATATCATTATCCCAAACTTGTTACTTGATGAGAAGAAGTCTTTAGAAAAACTACTTGAGCTACACAGAACTATTCCACAATCTTTTCAACATTACCAATAAAAAAACAGAATAAAAAATTCTCACTTTTTAGTTTATATGATAATGCATAGTCAGTAGTTTCCTTACCTATAACCTATAAGTAAGTACAACTTAGGAAGAAATTATAAATTATGGATTTGATAAACTCTGGAACCAATCAAAATTAACCAAGAAATAGAGAATTTCAAATGCAACCGGAAGAAGTTTTTTTCTCCTTTGAATGAATTGTCATGGACTGGAGTAATGGTTTACAAGTTGAAGGGTCTAGAAGAGCAACAAGCCAACCAAAAAGGCTATGGGTTGAAGTAGTAATAAATGAATAGGAGCCCATAATTTAAAAATGGATATGACACTGAACTGAGCTGAATGACAGAACAAGATTCATGTAACTGACCCCACAAAGTAAGGGCAAGGCTTTAGTTGAGTTGAGTTGAATCAAGAATGAATTATCATGGTCAGTCAACAAACAAGCCCAGAATTCTAATTGGCACTACATTCTTGAAAATAATGCACTACTTTTTACTGGCCTTAAAGGAATCCCTGAAACATATTGCATCAGGAACCGCATTTCCCCTCTATACCAAATTTTGCAGGCTCTACATTTCTGCATCATAGAGATGATGATATTAACTTGAACTCCAATGACATAAAAACTACAACTCTTTGTACAAAGATCATATCATGACCCTTGGTGAAAATGTCATACACTAAGCATCTAAGGTCCATTTCAACCATTTTGCCAAGAGAGGACAAAAGTAATTATTCAAAGTTCAAACACACAACTGAATGACTGAAACAAGAAAGAGAAGCTACATGCACCAAGTGTAGGAAAAAGGGAAAACCTGGAATTCCATGCAGTGCCAAAGTCGCAACTTAATAACAAAAGAGCCTTGCTGTGTTTCATCACTTCACTTTCAAGAAAGTGTTTAGAAGCTAAATGTTGATCTTGTACGGTTTCAGCCACCGAGTTATCTGTCTTGGCAGGTAAGTTGATAAGCATCTTATACTGTTCAACAGAAGCCAAAAAGGCATTTTTAGCAGCATTGTACAGGGGAAAAATAACTTCTGTTGAGATGGCCAACTTATGCTCTTGATTCCAAAAAATAGTCCCATCATGTGAGAAGGGATCAGTCATAAACATATTATGTTCCGATTGCTGTGAACTACTGACATGATTAATTGAGCTGCCTGCTTCTTCCTTTAGCGCCACTAACTGGGTTGGGTGAACAAAGCCTACTTCATCACTAGATACAAGCATCATCAAAATAAATAAATAAATGACTTAGAACAAATATAGGATGACCGGAAAATATTCTCTAAACAAGTGACCCAATGCATACTTCCTTTACCTCAGTAGAATGAAAAAATAATGGAGATGTAAGGTAGTCTATCAAGACAACATGGTTCTTGATCACTCGCAAAATATAGCTTCTTCTTTCATAAATTTGGAATTGCTTAAGTATCTCCATTAAAAACAAAAAAGTAACCATGGGACATTACTTGAGAGAGACATTTAGCATAAAAATTCAGTAACAATGAAATTACGGGATTCAGTAGAAGAACAAAGTGCAGTATCTTTGAAACATCAGAATATAGAAATTAGTCTAATATGGTCAATGAGGACACAAGAAAACTGTCTAATGCAAAAAATAGAATAGCACTTTCAGTAGGATACATCAACATTCTGGCACTAATCATAAGGAACCTATTAACCTAAGTTACTAGTGACTACAAATCACACAAGAAGGTCAAAGAAGAAGGGGAGAGATGAGGATATGAAACCCACTGCAAGTGTGGGGCACCATTATGCCCCTGGGTTGGTGTAACAGAGTCTTGGTTTACTTACCGTCAGAAGAACAGAGGGAGAAAAAGAGAGTAAGGGAGGAAGAGAGAGAGAATAGGGTTGGCAAAATAATTGAGTTAACCATTTCATGGTTTACCAATAGCTTTATACAATCAGTTTAACAGCTTTTCCCACCAATACAAGAATATGAATTGTAATAACTAACTGACTCAACCACCCGGCTAACAAACTCATACAAGGTGCTGACATTTTGGCCTAGGGTCATTACAGGCACCTCCTATTCATCCCCATTTAAGAGTAATTCAGTCCTATGCATTTCCATGCAGAAAATATCAATCTCTTTCCTTCCTCAAAACCATGTAAATAGAGTCTTAAAAGCATACTTGATCAAACAAGAATGCCAACATATCAAGCAATATGTTTATATATTATATGTTCACAAAATTCTAAAAGTATATTGATATGGCACTGAACAAAACAAAATAGAAAAGGATTCATGTAATTGACCCCATATAGTTGGGACAAGGTTTAGATGATGATGATGATGATGATGATGATGCTTATATGATATGTATTCTTTATAAAGTACCATGCAACTCAGACCTTCGCATACTTGCAAACATATCTAACCATGCTACACATAACATTACAATGCATCTCAAACTCAGCAATGCATCTCTAGATCTCATGGTATTGTACTATTGTTGACAAAACCCAGAGACACAAATATCAACTTTAATCTGGGTATAAGAACAAGTACTACCAAATCAAAAGACTTTCATGTATGACTATAACCATTTAGTACCTGGGGATTACTATTAGTAGTTCAAACTTCATACCAATTAAAGCAAAGCCCTCCTATCAAAGGGCTTCTTCATAAGACACGTTGTCACCTTCCTTTTAGGAAAACAACAAAAAAAAGGATCAACTTCAAGAGGAATTTTATTGGACACATGGTTAACTCCACTCTCACAGAAAAAAAAAAAAAAAACAAGGGAAAAAAAAGGTGCCCACTTCAAATGGGTGTGGGGCAATAACAAACAACCTTTCTAGTTTAATTTCCTAACTCAAATAAAAGATTAAAGATTCACCATAAAGACTTTCAATTTTTTAATTGAGGTGGGCGGTTAATTAGGAATTAAAGTTGATTTAATTTCATAAACTAAATAAGAGACCCAACACAAGTCTACCACATGAGTAGTGAATCCCAAACAACATAATAGATGTAGTTGCCCCATACTTAGTACAGGGTGACCACCTAGTTATAGATGAAATTAACGTCCCATTAGTTAGTACCACTCAGTATGCCCGACATGAGATAAACGTGCTTAAATTGAGTATATAACTTCCATTTCAATGTTCGTAATGCTAGTTTTTATGCCACATTCATCAATCACAGTAGAAAACTCACTTAAAATAGCTATTGGCTGCTTATAACTGTAATTTGAGCATAATTTATACAAAATTACTTATTCGAGTGCATTGAACTCAGCAAGATGGAGAGAAAGAGAGGAAGAAGAATTTACATGAGAGTATCAGATTCCAGTATATGTTCCAATTGCCCCAACAGACGAAATTCGTAATCTTGAGAACTCGAGGAGTGCGTCATCATCTATGCTTTCTTCTTCTCTGCATTGGAAAAAAATTAAAACTAACAGAATTTAGTGAGTTGAATATTCATAAGTCAAGATCCAATCGAGTTGACTCGTTGGCTCCCAGTCTCTTCCGGAGCTCTTTTCAGCTCTCTGCGTCAGTGATTCTCAGACGCATGAGCTTCTGGAAGAAATTAAAAATATGAAAAAGAAAAACATTGTTAATTTACTTGATTTAGAAAAGAATAAATAAATCCGGCAAAAATACGACAAGAAATTCGATTTATCGACACAAATGTAGAAAATATATAACTCAAATTCAATATAAACCCAAATGAATCCTCCCCGTTCCGATTAAAAAATGAATAAATCTGAAACTGAAAAGGAAATACCTTGAAAAGAGATTAAAATGCAGTAGAAGTTTCGACTTCGGGGATGAGCCCTAATAAATTGTTTTTTTTTTTTTTTGGTAGTAGAGGAAAGAAACAGGCTACGCTACACAGAACGGGGTAGTTAAAAACTGCCAGCGTAAGGAGGAACCCTCAGCCCTCAGAAGCCAGCTACCATGTTGTTATCCCAAAGGTTAAAATTGAAAACCTAGGGCTCGGATTTCATCCAACACAAGGTCCAAACCCAAGTTTATCAATCCAGACCAACTTGAACTTGATCTAATTCAATTCGCGCCGGATTCATGTTGGGCCTGGCCCAATCCAACCCAAGTTTAAATCACTGAAGTTGGGCCTGGTCAAATTACAACTCTAATATCACCTTTCCTTCCCTCCTCCAATTGAATATTGTCTAATATTGTCTTTGAATCTAAGCAGAGGAAAGATGGAATTTATTATTAAAGGTAAGGGGATATTGGCCTTAAGAAAATTTAAGGGTAGAATTCAGTTAATTCGCATGGCAAATGTCCGATAAACGAAAATGGCATGAAAGTTGAAAAAATGATAACCAAATTAAATGAGAAGTAGTAACCGATATCATATAACTAGGGTGTAAATGAACCAGGTTATAGTTGGACCAGTCCCAATTAAAATCAATTTTGTGTGGATTGGACGGACTAATAAGATATATTGAATTGGACCAAATATTCAATCAATTGACAGAAGATGTACTAGTGCCAATGGACTAGAATTGCATTGGACCCAATCTAAATTAAAACCAATTTTGGTTGAACAGAACATGATTTTTAAAACCGGACCGGACTGGACAGTCAAATCAGAAAAATTGGGAATCGATCACCTGACCGGTTTATTTTTCTCCAAAATTGCTTTTTTCCCCCAAAACCGTTGATTTTGGTCAGCAAACCACACGGTTAACCATTTCAACGGTTTTAACCGTTTTTCAATTTTTTTAATTTTTTTATTTTTTTGTCAAAACGGGCTGATCGTTTAACCCGATAACCAGACCCCTAACCGGTTCTGTCATCGGGTCAGTTTTAAAAACCATGTCACATAGTGCACCTCACACCAACCTCACAAGCACAACCCACCATGTATGGGAAACATCTTCCACGTTGTTATTCATGAAAAATGTTCCAAATGCATGGTGGGATGTGCCTGTGAAATCGGTGTGAGGTGCACTCTGTGGGGAGTATATCCCAATTCGAATTAGAGTCCAAAATAGTTCACGATAATCATTGGATTGGATTGAACCTTGTCCATTTGTTATGGACACATATTGGACCACGTCGGGTTGGACCAATATCCAATCTAGCATTGTAATCCCAGTTCTACGCATTTTCTTTTCTATCTTAAGATTCATTGTTTTCTTAATCGAGGCACGAAGGATTCATTTGGGTTCAAACTCAATTGAGGTTTACATTTTCTACATTTGCATTGATAAACCAAATTCTATGTTGTTTTTTTTTTATTTTTATTTTTTTTGCATTTACTAATTCATTTCTAAATCGAGTTGCTTAACAATGTTTTCCTTTTCATATATTTAATTTGTTTAAGAAGTTCATCGTTTGTAAATCACTAACACAAAGGGCTGAAAAGAACTCCAAAATAGATTAAGAGCCAACCAAGTCAACTCGATTTGCTTTCACATATTTATTGAAGAATGATCCTTGTGTTAAGCAATGTTTTCAATCCATTGTTGATCCAGCCGGTTGAACCATTTGAATTGTCACCCAGCTAAGATTCTGGATCTGGTTCTGTTAAGGCTCGTTAAATGATCAAAACCATTGATTTTGTCAAGAACCATTCAACCCGATCAGTTTGACCGTTGACCTGTTCAACCCGGTGACCGGATAGTAGGTTGCACACTTAATGTATGCAAATTTTCGAAGGCCAAAACTTTGCACTCCGATATCCAATTGGGGTTTTTTTATTTTAAGTAGCTTTTTGAGATCTATGCGTCCCAATGCCTTGGCCCGCTATTTTCACGAAAAAAAAAACCTTTTTTGGCTTCAAATTGCAATTTTTAATATTTTTTATAAATAAAACAAATTAAATCTGAATTAAAAAACATAAATTAAATATAAAATATACATTATTTATTGTTAAATTATATATTTACACACACACATATATATATATATATATATATATATATATATATATATATATTGCTGATGTGGCATAGTTTGAATCGTCAGACCCAGCTGATTTTTAAAACATTGGTGTTAAGTATGGGACCGGTATTTTGCTAATATTTTATTTATTTATTTATTTATATTTTTAATAAATTTGTTTCACACCTAATTTTTATGTTGTAAATTTAGGTTATTATTTTATTTTATTTTTATGTATATATTTGTTAATTAATTTAAGAGATTAAATCAAGCTTTACCCATAAAATAATACCCCACTTTATGGATATTACACTATTTGGAATGAGCTTTTATTTTTTCTATCTTTTGAATGTTGATAACTACCATTGACAGTTTTTGAGAGTTGAGGTAATTACCATTTGAGTGGGATAAATACACGTTTGAGGAAGGAATAACCAAATTTGAAATGCTAATCTCAAGGTTTTCTTTAATAGTAGTGAAGGAATAACCATTTTGAATTGTTGTAAGTCTATAGTAGAATTTAGAATTCTGAGGTGGAGTGCAGTCTAAAAATAAAAAAAAAAAAAAAAAATCTAGGCAAAAAGCCCAAGAACGAGGAAGCTCTCTTACCAAACAGGCCTTAATGGACCCGTTTTTTTTTTTTTATGGATACATTTAGATGAAAGTCTCACACACTTGCATTTAGTACATAACATAAAAGCATGTTGCCAAACCCTTACTGAAGTTAGGTAAGCCCAAACCTTATTGAACTTGTCAAGGGACCTCTTTGTGTAGCCCAGAGATGAACCAAGTCGCCATTTCCCTTCTTTAGCTCTTCTGGTGTGTGAAGCAGAAAAGAGGAAAGTAACAACAACAGTGAAAATATTGATGTCAAATATAGTACACACATGTTGTCGCGCGGATAAGCCGAGGGCAACCAGGTAAATTTGCTCTTCAGGTTCCGAGTGTTGGCCAAGGACCTCGGGGCCTCGGAAGAGATTGACTGAAATCGAGGACCGCAAGCCGAGGTGAAGTATTCCTTCCGAGAATTACAAGTTGAGGCAAAGTCCTTGGTAACCAAAGATACTACAAGACAGGGGGTGTCAAAGGCCTCGAGGTGGATACCTGAGGTAGAGGCTCCGACGCTCAAGTTAGTATGAGGTGTAAAGCAGGGGAGAGTGCCAAAGAGCTCCTGGAGAGAGTCCTCGGATGCACCAGATCTCCCTGAATTAATGCTAAGTAGACAATGTAGGTGGAGGGAGTAAATGAGTGAGTAATGTTGGAGTTACTCTATTCCAACCCACTTTAAGGGGTAGTTATCCCTTATTTATACTTGAGCGTGCTGGGGGTAGGTGAAGATGAATGCTCCGGATGAGATCCGTACGAGGTCAAGCTACAGGCCTTGGCGGGTACGCCAGACAAACATGTGGTTGGCTCTGTACGGAGGCAGCAAGGCTCCCTCCTACTGTGGCTAACACTAGCAGGCGTTAGTGGGTTGGGCCTCGCAGCCCTATGTAGGCTGGGCCAAGCTAACCAACATCACTTGCCCCCCATTCCCGAGACCGAGGCGAGGCCTCAACTTTTGCCCATAATGAGGGTAGTAATCGAAGTAAGGCTTCGACTTCGGTCATTGGGAGTAGTGGTCGTTATGCCTTCGGATTTGTTAGCCGAGGGATGTCCTGTAATGGCATCGTCTTCGCTATTCGCGTCGTCCCTCTTTGGTTCATGGCGCGAGCGATGTGGATGCCTCGGCTTGGCGGGGGTGTCCTGTATCACGCACGGGCGGGTCACGTTAGTGGCACTACCGTGTAGGGGACGACCATCCCAGGAGTCCTGTGTTTATCGGGTCAAATGGTCTGCCCAGTGGTTTGTGATGAGTGGGCCTTTCGGTTTGCTCAGCGGGTTGCCGCGGGCGATCTTTGCGGTCCACCCGGCGTCGTTTCGCCTTCCGAGGGCATGCGCTAGGAGGTGCAATGAAACTGGTTCGCAGGAGCGGAGGGCTCCCGCATCCGTTGGATCTGCGTCAATTTGAACCGTTTCTTTGGGTGTCGTTTCATCTTACGAGTGCCCGCGCTAGGAGGTGCAGTGAGACTGGTTTGCAGGAGCAGAGGGCTCCCACATCCGTTGGATTTGCGTCAATCTGAACTGTTGCTTTGGGTGTCGTTTCGTCTCCCGAGGGCATACGATAGGTGGTGCATCACAATTGGATGGTGGGAGTGGATTGGTTTTAATCGTCGGATTTGGAGAAATCCAGGCCATTCATTTTCTTTTAAATAGGGGCCCTAATAGTGAGTTTCTTCTCCATTTGAACTTATATGCCCTTGCTCTCGAGTGAACGCAGCTCCCCAACTCTCAATTCTCCAGAACTTTTCTACTTCTTCCCTTCTTCGGGACATTTTGCCCTCTCTTAGGTAATCAAAACATGTCATTTTCAGATTCTGGTCCTGAGTGCCATGAACTCCCGAACATCTTGAGAGGGAGCTCTCCTACAACCCCCTCTCCCCTGTCTTCTCTAGGTTCTTTAGCCGTAGCCCCCCTTCGACGGGAGGTGGCCATTTTGAGGGAGAGGTTAACCTCAGGGGGAGCCGAGGGCAGTCACTAGGGAAAGGACTCTCCCCATGAAAGTGCCGCCTCAGTGTCGCCGATGGATCTCCTCTCTCCGAGGATGATGCCGTGGAACTTGTCACCGGACCAATGGCAGGGAGTGCTACCCGAAGGGTGGCTGACGCTGGTGTCCCGCGTTCGGAGTTTGACAACTCCTTAGACGTGTGCCAGGTCAAATCCTTGGTGAAGAGGTTCCACATACCCCGGTCTTATAACCTGAGGGTCCCCGATGTGGGCGATAGGCCGTGGACCCCCAAGGAGGGGAAAATATGTATCTACCAACATTTTTTGGAGTCTGGCCTTAGGTTTCCCCTCCCAACCTTAATCTCCGAACTGCTGGAGTGGCACGACATCACTATCATCCATCTCGTACCCAACGCCCTCAGGACCATCGTGGCGATGATGGTGTGGGCTCGGCTCAGGGGCATGGAGCTGATGCTGAGACTGTTTCGTGCCATGTTTATG